TTTTTAGAATAATAATTCTTTATGCTAATAATCTACTTAGTCTACGTTATTCATTCAAATAATGCAATAATTAAATTAAAATCAATTAAATACAATAACCCAAGTCATTAATAAAGAATATTCAATTTTTATTTAATTGATTTGCCTTGGTATATTTGGAGTAGTCTTACTATCCAGGAACTAATTGCAAGACAGGCACACGCGGAACACGAAGATTAACTCAGAAATTTCACGTCCTCGATATATGATAATAAAATAATATCATTTATAATAAATAAACAAAAAACATAAATAAACAAATCTTTAAATCGTCTACTCTCTCTAATATAAAAATTAGTTATAAAAAACATAAAATAAAAAATATTTAATGTTTTATTTTAATATAATTAGTTTAAATTAAACTTGTATTAAAATATATATAATCCAAACTGTAAAATAAAAAAATATTTAATTTCTAATTTTAATGATTATCTTAACGTATGAGATAATTTTATATACTAGAAGCCAGAAGCTAGGTTGCATAGACATGAGACACAAAATACGGGAATATACGGGATATAATAACAAATAAACAATCATTTATAATAAAAAATAGATATAAAATAAAAAAATACTTAATTTTTTATTTCAATATAATTAGTTAAATTCTCAAAATTATTATCACTATTGAAAAATCTACATCTATCTATATGATATATAAAAGCAAAGTAGCTTACTTTATATAGAAGCCAAGTGTAAGTAGCACAGTTTGCTATTTGACATTATTTTGGATTATAGAATGACAGATGTTAGAATTCACACAATTTACCACAGTTGTAAGAATTGTAAAAAATCATTTGTTTTATATTTTCAGATAATCTCTTTATCATGATAATATCTATACAAAAGATTATTTCTAGCGTTGAATATATTAATATAAATTTTTTTTTTCTCTTCAAAAAAAATAAATTTATTTCTTCTTAAAAAACAATTAATAAGTAATCTACACATTTAAGAGAGTGAAAATAAATAATACATTACTATTAAATACACGATATATAAGCAATTTAAAAAATATAAATTGGAATGTAGGATTTTTAAAAAATTAAAACATCCACATGCTTAGAACACACTACACTAAATAAGTGTTTGTAAAACAATAAACATCCACAATCGTTAGAACAACATCACTAAAGAATAAGATAAATATATTTAATATTTCAAACAAATAAACACATTTATAATAAAATATATTAATATTTCAAACAAATAAACAACAATTTATAATAAATTATAAATATAAAATAAAAAAACTTATTTTCTTATTCCAATAACACAAAAAATATTTAAAAACATTTCATTTTTATTGGTAGTGAACAAAAAAATCTTGGTTGATTAACTTGGTGTATAAAGTAGTCTCATACACTAAGAGTTAAGTTGTACGAAAACAGGACATGACATACGGAACGTATGAGATATGATAATTTTTAAAAAATATAGGGCATTCATTCGCTTAAAACACACTAAACTAAACAAGTAGTACATTAATCTTTCAAATAAATAAACAATCATTTATAATAAACATAAAATAAGAAAACACTACATTTCTTATTTCAATGATGACACAATTGCAAATTAAAAAAAAAAAAAACACTTCATTTTTATTAGTAATAAAAAAAATCTTAGTTGAATAGCTTGGTGTATGGAGTAGTCTCATATTTCAGGAGCCAGGTTGCACAAACACAGGACACGAGATATAAGAACGTACGAGATACAATAATTTTTAAAAAAGGTAGGATATTCACACACTTAGGACACAATATACTAAATAAATAATATATTAGTATTTTCAAATAAATAAACAATTATTTATAATAAATTATAAACACAAAATAAATAAAAAATTGATTTCTTATTTCAATGACACAAATAAACAATTATTTATAATAAATTATAAACACAAAATAAATAAAAAATTGATTTCTTATTTCAATGACACAAAAACAAATTAAAAAAACACTTCATTTTTTGTTGGTAATAAAAAAGTCTTGGTTGATTAGCTTGGTGTATAGAGTAGTTTCATTACCAGGAGCTATGTTGCATAGAAACAGGATACGATAATTTTTAAAAAAGTTAGGACATTCACACGCTTAGGACATAGTACACTAAATAAGTAATACATTAATATTTCAAATAAACAATTAATTATTTATAATAAATCATAAATGTAAAATATAAAATACTTAATTTCTTATTTCAATGACACAAAAACAAATTAAAAAAAAAAACACTTCATTTTTATTGGTAATAAAAAAACTTGGTTAATTAGTCTAGTGTAAGGAGTAATCTCATATATCAGGAACTAGATTGCACGGACATGGGACATGAGATACGAGAACATACAGATATGATAATTTTTAAAAAGTTGAACATCAATATGCTTAGGACACACTACACTAAATAAGTAATACATTAATATTTTAAATAAATAAACAATCATTTATAATAAATCATAAGCATAAAATAAAAAAAATACTTAATTTCTTATAAAATAAAAAATACTTAATTTCTTATTTCAATATAATTAGTTAAATTCTCAAAATTATTATCAATATTGAAAAATATATTAATAGTGTGTTTGTTTTTTTTTTTTTATGTAGGTCATACTATGCATGACTTTAATTTGCTATTGCATACCTTATGAAAATTTTCGCATGATACTTAAGAAGACATATTTTAGGATTGCAACTTTTCAGCATATATCAATAAGATACAATTTATCATTTTATTATATAATTTTACTATTTTTGAATAATTTTATAAATACTATTTTATTTTTTAATATTACCCTGTGCATTGTGCGGATCATAAGGAAAAAAAAAAAGCAATTATATTTTCAGCTAATATCATATAGGAGGAAAAAAAAACTATATTAATATTAATAAGCAAAAATTTTTTTTGTTTTGGAAATAGAAAGGAATATAAGGGAAAAGAATTCCCATAATTTTCTCTTCAAAATAAAAGAAAAATAAAAATTTATACAAATAAATTTGTAGAGAAAAATTAATTTTATTTTTCTTTTATATCAAAAAAATAAGTAACAAAAGTTTTTCCAAAAAAAAAAAATTAGTCCCTTCTTATTTTTTCTGTTTATTCATTAATAAAAAAAGATACAAAAATAAATTAAAAAAAAAAACTTCATCATGTGATACAGGAACGTACCGATTCGACAATTTTTAAAGAAGCAGGAGATCCACACGTTTAGGACACACTACACTAAGTAAGTATAATATATTAACATTTCAAATAAATAAACAATCATTTATAATAAATCATAAACATAAAATAAAAAAAATACTTAATTTCTTATTTCAATATAATTAGTTAATATAATTAGTTCAATTCTCAAAATCATTATCACTATTGATAAATACATTAATAGTGTGTATGCATTTTTTCATGTAGGTCATACTAGGGGTGTCAAAATGGGTCACGAAAAGCGAACACAATTCACCTAACACGCAAAATAAATGGAATAGGATTGAGGTTAAACAAGTTCGTGTTATAAACAAGTGATCCATTTATAACACGAATATAACCGTGTTGTGTCACGGGTTGACACGCAGGTTAGGCGAGTGACCCGTTTATTTAAGAGTAAAAAAGTAATTTTAGTATTAGATATAAATACTCCAACTAAAACTTATTTATAAAACTTATTTAAATTTTATTGTTGTAATTACTTTTTTTAATTTTAATTATGAATTTTTGAAAAATTTATTACGACGTTTACATGTGAAATGTTATTTTTAAAATATGAATTGGAGGTTAAATATATTTCAAGAAGATAAATAAATACTAATAAACAGGGTTTAAGTGTGGTCGTATATAGGGTCAATACCATCCACTTAATCTATTTAATATATTAAGTGAGTTACACGAGTTGGTATATGGATCAACCACGATTCACTTAAACTGTCGTGTTCATTATTTGACATTGTAACGGCTTAAAACGATGTTTGTTCGTGTTAACATTTAATTTTTTCTGTTTGTGTTTGGTTCGAACTTACCTAAAAAATATTTGCATATTTATTTAAGAGTAAAAAAGTAATTTTAGTATTAGATATAAATACTCCAACTAAAACTTATTTAAATTTTATTGTTGTATTACTTTTTAATTTTAATTATGAATTTTGAAAAATTTATACACTTTACATGTGAAATGTTATTTTTAAATATGATTGGAGTTAAATATATTAAAAGATAAAAATACTATAAACAGGTTAAGTGGGTCGTATATAGGTCAATACATCCACTTAATCTATTTATGATATTAAGTGAGTTACACGAGTTGTATATGGATCAACACGATTCACTTAACTGTTTATGACATTTAACGGCTTAAACATGTTGTGTTCGTGTTAACCATCTAATTTTTGTGTTGTGTTTGTGTTCAACTTATAAAAAATTATTTCATACTTGAATATTATTTCGCGCATCGCGCGAGATCTAACACTAGTTATTAATTTAAAGCAAAAAATAAAATTTTCCATAAAATTTTAATACAAGTCTATCCTAATTCATATTCACGATAAAATTCTCATTTTGAATTATTTTTCATATTTTCACAGACATCTGATCATCTGTTTGGTTTTTTTTACTGTTCAAATACATTTAAATAATTCAATTATAATTATAATTTATTTGATCGATTAGGCGATTTGGATGTTTTCCACCTTCAAATTGAATGGCCAAAATGAACCCTCGTTCTAAAAGTTAACTCTATTAAATACAACTGGATTTTAGGTGGATCGTTGGACATCATAAATTGATTACTAGCAACTTTGTTTCTTGTACGTGTGCATGTATAATGACAAGTGATGCCAAAATAAAATTACCAAAAACTTCTTTTTTCTTTTTGAAATTAAATTACTAAAAACTTAGTAGTAGACTAATAATTAATTCATCATTATTAGTTCATTTTAGAAGCTACCAAGTGACAACTAGCAAAGACTAATCTGTACAAATTGCATTATTAATCTTGCATGTGGGAGAACAATTCTCATTAGTCAACCTTCTTCATCACCAAACCCATTCATCTTCTCTTCTCTTTTTACTCTTCTCCTCTTCCTTCTTTCTTAAGGCTTTTTCTGTGTATAGTCAATCCATGGCTTCCAAGAAACATTTTACAGTAACTCCATGGACTAAGTACTCCAAAACTCATTCCACTACATTTATTACTGGTTCTCACTTTAGATACTTTCTCCTTCTTCTAATCTCTTTCTCTGTTTGGTTTCTTTCACTTTCTTGTTTTAGCTTTTCTTCTACTTATACCAAACACCTTCCTCCCCCTAATGCTGCTAAAACTAGCTGCTCGAACGTATCTCTCTATGTATATCAACTACCAGAAGAGTTCAACTTGGGTTTCCTCCGCGACTGCACCCATTTGAATATTTACACTAACATGTGTCCGCACGTCGCCAATCACGGCCTTGGTCAACTGCTCTCTACCCCCACCAAAGGCGGATCCTTGGTACATTTTTCCTTTTATTTCTTTATATATTAATTTCATTAATTTTAATTTTTTTTACTTATTAAATTTTTTTAACTGCAGAAAAATAAATTTCTAGATTCACCGCTCACCGCCACAAATTGGTTTGCCAGCCACCAGTTTCTTGCCGAGATGATCTTCCACGCCCGCTTAGAAAATCACGCATGTCGTACCATGGACCCCAATACTGCTAATCTCTTCTACGTGCCTTTCTATGGCGGTCTCCACGTGTCCAGCAAGTTTCGTGAATTTAATCATACGATACGCGATGAATTAGCCGTTCGATTAATAGAGGACATTCAAATTCAGCCTTGGTGGCAGAGGCATCATGGGAAGGATCATTTTTTAGTCTTGGGGAGAACCGCATGGGATTTCATGAGATCTGATGGTGTGCCAGACTTTGGAGCCAACTGCCTCCTAAATTTGCCACCTGTAAAAAATATGTCGGTGTTAACTGTAGAAAGACAACCGTGGCAAGGAACCAACCAATACGGCATACCGTATCCTTCTTATTTCCATCCCTCCAGTGCCGTTCAGATGCTGACGTGGCAGCGAAAGATGAGGCTGTCAAAGCGGGAGTACCTTTTCTCTTTCATAGGTGGCCCACGAAAAGGCGTGGAGAAAGCAGCTATCAGGGACGAGTTAATAAGGCAATGCGAAGAGTCAACTCAGTGCAAGCTCATGAAATGCGGGAATGATGGTACAAGTAAATGCCATGAACCGATTGAGGTGCTTAGAGCGATGAGTCAGTCCGAGTTTTGCTTGCAAGCGCCAGGAGACTCGTTCACTAGAAGATCCACGTTTGACTCAATGTTGGCAGGTTGCATACCGGTATTTTTCTCGCCGCACACGGCGTACACACAGTATAGCTGGTATTTGCCGGCGGATGGGAATGAGTATTCGGTTTATATTGAAGGGAGCGAGATTGAGAAGAGAAAGATAGAAGAAGAGCTTGTGAAGATTTCAAAGAAAAAAGTGGAGAAAATGCGAAGGAGAATAATAGAATTGATACCAAGCCTTACATATGCCCACCCCAATGCTACTGATGTTGGATTTGAAGATGCCATTGATGTTGCAGTTGCAGCACTGGCCAAACTTGCACGCGCCAAGATAGGTGTGTAGTCTAAGTGCATCTCATGGAGATATATTTAAGTATTAATCATATTCGAATTGTTATAGAGATTAATACTATTATAACTCCATATTATTTTTTTAATTTTTTGAAGAAACATAATAATCATATTCTAATTATTAAAGTAGCTTTTTTCTTTCGAGTGAACAATTTATACATAATTACTTTCTTCTACTCATTATTTATTTATTTATTTTTTACTAGGTAAAAGAAACTCTAAAATAATATATAATATAATATAAGTGTGAATAAGGGAAAAAAATATGGGATGGGAAAAAACACCTTTATTAATTTGTATTATTTTCAAAATTATAAAATCATTTCAACGCGAACCAAGCTTAAAAAAACTTTAATTCAAATTAATAAATATCAAATTTTTGTCTTACAAGTTGACTTACTAAGCAACAGTTTTGCTTACTAAGCGACAAAACCTTTATTGAATGGAAAAACTAAGTTAATTTATCGGCCCTAAACTAAATTTGTATTTAACAAATATATTATCTCCTCTTCCTTTCAAAGGAAAAAAAGGAAAATATTTTGGTAAATTCATCATTTTTTTCTCAAACCTTTTAGGGGTATTTTGGTGAAAATCCTAATTTCTCTCCCTTTAAAATAATAAGACGTTAGCTGCGGTGTAAACGATCTCAATCCCCCTGAGAAAGAGAACATGAATTCAATTTTCGGATATTTTACAGTCCGAAAGGAATTATATTTCTTGATTATAAAAAAAATATTAAATAAAGTTTGGTATATAAATTTTAACAATATGGAAAATTTTGGTGAATTTTTTATCCATCCTATTCTATTCCCTCACATAGATCTAAATTCCATTTTAAAGTTACAACATTTTAAAAATGTAACCGACAATAGGTTCCTTGTGGAAAGTAATTGTCTTATGGCTATCAGTGCGATACGTAATACTGATATTAACACTGATATTGATTTATCTTGTGCTTAAATTTAACTAATGATTATAGATTGCTCCTTTCACGGATTGCCCTTACATAAATTAGTTTAATTTAACGAATGAGACTGTCCGTATGTTAGCACAATCCTTTATTTCTATGACCGATTCAGTGAAGATATTATCCCACTATTATTTTTTTCTTTTGGTTTTTTTTCAATATTCGATGTCCGAAGCTAACTGACTTGATTAATCTGAATTCGCGTTAAGTAGGCCAATAAAAGAGGAAAAACGTTCCCTTCCGAGTGTTTAAAGAAACTCCATACTCAGTGTTCAAATACTGTCCCTCCATCTTTAATTAATGATGTTTTTCAAATTGGCTTGAATAATATATAAGCATTTGATTTTTCCAAAAAAAAAAGAAGTTACAATATTTTAAATTACATGCGTAGTGGTTGAGACTAGACTAATACTCCATTTTTAAGTTCCAATATTTTAAATAATTCCCATTGAGGCCCATCCCATGCACACCAACTCTAAATTGCGTCAGAAGTTATGCACCAACAAAGATCAACCAAATTACATTCTTTTCGCGTGATTAGGACACGGAAACGGCTGCATGTGCTGAGGAAATCTCATTAATTATAACCTGTCTCTATACTTATCATCTTTCCTGATTTTTTTTTTTCTTTTGAGATATCCTTACCAAAATTAAATCCATGTTGTTCTTTTTTTTCCTTTTTCTGGAGCATGAAATTATCATGCAAACCAAACAAACACTTCTCCATTTCCTTTTTCTGTGTCATCCATGGCTTCCAAGAAACATCTTATTGCATCTCCATGGGCCAAAACAAAAGAAACTCATTCCAACACATTTACTACTAATTCTTACTTAAGTTACTTTCTCCTTCTTTTAATCCTTTTCTCTGTTTGGTTTCTTTTACTTTCTTGTTTTAGCTTTTCCTTTTCTTATACTAAACACCTTCCTGTCCGCACTGCTACAAATATAAACTGCCCAGAAAACGTATCACTATATTTGTATCAACTGCCACTAGAATTCAACTTGGGTCTTCTCCGCGACTGCTCCCATCTGAATATTCACACTAACATGTGTCCGCACGTAGCCAATCAGGGCCTCGGTCAACCGCTCTCTACCACCAGCAGGGGAAGCTCCGCGGTAATTTAAGTTTAGAATATTGAGATTGAGGTAGTAAAAATAAAATTTTAAATTTCAGGAAATAAATATGTATATTTTTTAAAATATAAAAAAAATCGAAATTTTAAAAGCCTAAAAGCAATGACTTCAAACTAGGATTAATTTAATCTGTATATAAAATTTTAAATTTCAGGAAATAAATATGTATATTTTTTAATGAATATACAAAAAAAATCGAATTTAAAAGGTCTAAAAGCTGATGACTTCAAACTAGGATTAAATTTAATCTGTATAAATTAATAATATATGTATATATATATTAGTAATATATATTTTATGCTTATGTAATTTTTTAATTTAGTTTATTACTTACATAATTTTTTATATATACATTTTAAACTGCAGATAAAAAAATTTCTGAATTTACCTCTGACCGGCGCCAATTGGTTCGCCACGAACCAATTTGTTGCCGAGATGATCTTTCATGCCCGCTTAGAAAACCACCCATGTCGTACCATGGACCCCGCTACTGCTAATCTCTTCTACGTGCCTTTCTATGGAGGTCTCCACATGTCCAGCATGTCTCGCGAATCCAATCTTACTGTACGCGATGAGTTAGCCGTTCGATTAATAGAGTACATTAAAAATCATCTTTGGTGGCAGAGGCATCACGGTAGGGATCATTTTTTAGTCCTGGGGAGAACCGCGTGGGATTTCATGAGATCCGATAGTGGGCCAGACATTGGAGCCAGCTGCCTCCTAAATTTGCCACTTGTCAAAAACATGACCGTGTTAACTCTAGAGAGACAGCCATGGCGAGGGACCAACCAATATGGCATACCGTATCCTTCTTATTTCCATCCGTCCAGTGTCGTTCAGATGCTGATGTGGCAGCAAAAGATGAGGCTATCCAAGCGAATCCACCTTTTCTCTTTTATTGGCGGTGCACGGAAGGGAGTGGAGAAAGCAGCGATCCGAGACCAGTTAATAAGGCAATGCGACGAGTCAACCCAGTGCAAGCTATTGAAATGCGGGAATGATGGTACAAGTAAATGCCATGAACCGAGTGAGGTGCTTAGAGTAATGAGTCAGTCCGAGTTTTGCTTGCAAGCGCCGGGAGACTCGTTCACTAGACGATCCACGTTTGACTCGCTGTTGGCGGGTTGCATACCGGTGTTTTTCTCCCCGCACTCAGCATACACCCAGTATAGGTGGTATTTGCCGGCGAATGGGAATGAGTATTCGGTTTATATTGAAGGGAGTGAAATTGAGAAGAGAAAGATAGAAGAAGAGCTTTTGAAGATTTCAAAGGAGAAAGTGGAGAGAATGCGAAGGAGAATAATAGAGTTAATGCCAAGTCTTACATATGCCCACCCCAATGCTACTGATGTTGGATTCGAAGATGCCATTGATGTTGCAGTTGCAGCACTTGCCAAACTTGTACGCGTCAAGATAGGAGCTGTAGACTAATTGCATCTACTGATTAATACTCTTATATCTCCATATTATTTTAAAAAAAATTTTTTTTAAAGCAATAGAACTCGTATTCTAATTATTAAGAGTAATTCTTTCCTTTCGATAAAACAATTTAAGTACAAGAGTAGAGTTTTTTTATGTATAATTACTTCCATTAATTGAAATTACTTTCTATTTAATTTTTATTATTAGATAAGAAAATCTATAAAATTCATTTTGATAATCTAAAATAATAGATTTACATTAAAGATTTATATTTACATTAAAAATGATGTGCCTTATTCATGACTTTAAAATCCTTATTTTCAAATACGGATTGTTCATTATTGAATTCTAGATTCTATAATCTCAAATCACAAAATTAACAACATGTTACAAATACATATTATAACTTCAAATTGCAACTTATATGTTTTAAGATATAAGAGATAAAACAACATATAGCAAATGTTGCCATATTGCTTAACGACAACATACACTTCATATGACACCAAAATCCGGTTTCGTAAAACAAAACTTTAAGAGCCACGTTAGGTTTAACACTGAAGTATTAAACCGACATGCTTAATACTTAATAATTTAAAAACATTTCTTTTAGTTTTACAAAAATGATTTAGAAAAATTTTCGGAGAAATCCTATAGAATAACTGCAAGAGTTTCCCTTATATATTCAGTATCACAAAGTCACAGAAAAACATTTAAAACACTTCTATAATTCATCCATAACTCAATATTATTTTCAAAATTATTTACCCAACACAACTCCGCATTCTCAATCTACAATCCAACACATCTCATAAAAATTCAACATAGATAATAAATCAGTTCTTTTTAATTGAAAACATTTAAGATATTCATTACTTGCCATAAAATATTATGACTCTGAAAATAAAACTATTGTTTCAAATATTTAGTTCATAACATTCTGACTCAAATAAAAACATTCTAGTGCCTTAATTATATAATATAATAAACATACAGCTCGAAAGTGCATATAACATCATACTACCCGTCGGTCGAAATCAAATGGTCATATCCATAAAATAGGATTTTTAACTAGGGGTTTTTTAGCTTCTATAAAAGTGGAGTTCGTTAGCTCCTATAAAACGAAGTTCGTTAGCCCCTATAAGACACTGCGTATCACATATAGACAATACTGTATTCCTATGACATGTCATATCTTTATACAACTACTGACTCAACCAAGTAGACTAAGACCGATAAAATATTTATTATAATTAATTCATTTCATAATTCATACATATCAATGTTCATAGATAAAACACCTGGACTCATAATTACACCGAAATATTTTATTACAGTCTGAAAATATTCTCTTTCATAAACTCTATTTATTCATAAAAATCATATTTTTCCATGCTAAATATTCTATCATAAATTCATTTCCATAAATCACATAATCATACTTAATTAATCATAATTCTTATATAATTGCATAAATCCATAACATATACTACCTCTGTTTCATATACTTGTCACATTTGGAATTTCAAGTCCTTTAAGAAAATTATTAATTTGTCTAAGTTACAATAAATTATTGAGTAAATTGACTATATTACCCTTAATTTAATACTAATTCTCTAAGAAAATCATTAAATTGAAGTAAATTTTCAAGTCCTTTAAAAAATTATTAATTTTGTCCTAAGTTACAATAAATTATTGAAGTAAATTGACTATATTACCCTTAATTTAATCTAATTCTCTAAAAGAAAAATTCATTAATTGAAATTAATACTAATTCTCTAAGAAAATCATTAAATTGAAGTAATAATTATTGGTCATATACAAAGGGTAAAAAAAAATATTTATTACTCCTTGAAATCACAAATGTGACAAATATTATGGAATGTAGGTAGTATTTATAAAGAATATTTTATCTCAGAAAATATTCTACCATGACACTTACATGTCACATAATCATAATCATAACATACTTTTTACATAATCATTCATGATTCACTAATAGGCACAATTCCCAATGTACTAATTTTTCACATAGTATATCTATATTAATTCACCTAATTAATCCATATTTCACTTATTTATAATATTCTCCTAATTGGGACTTAAGTGGATCAATTAATTAATTATTGCTCTAAGAGGGTGTTTAAACCTAATATTCCTTTAACTTCTTAAATTGTATTAATTAGCTACCTAATTTATTTAGTATTCATATAATCCTATTATTTTTACTATTCCTATTATTTACAAATTAAGTACCTAATTAATCTACATATCACCAATTAACTATTTATCCACTTAATTAAATTACTACTAACCGATTAATTCATTACTAATACTTAATTATCACTAATCCTAATTAATCATAATCTCAATTAAGGCTATATTACAAATTGGTCCTTGGAGTCCTTATCGATTATAAATGGATCCCACTTGGAATAAATAGACTAATGGTATTAAATAATCCATAGTCCACAATTAAGCCTTATAAGGGTTTAATTTATAATTATAGTCCTTAATCAAGTCCCAAATTGTTCTTTAGTCTATAATAAATGCAAATTTCATTTGGATCCTTACAAAATGTCATATTGGTTCTTAAAATTCTCTTTTTGTCGAAATCCTCCTTAAGCATATGGAACTTCCTCTTTAGTCCTTAGAACATGTCCAAATAAGTCCATGAGACATGAAAATATCATCTTGGTACCCAAAATAGATTTCATCTCAATTAAATTTTTACATATCAAGTCCAAAGATTTATTAAGATTATTATTATTTATCTTTAACATCACACAACAGTATTTACATATCACATATATAAAATAAATTTAAACATCATAAAAATAATACTATAAGGTTTAGCCAATCTTAGAAAAATAAAATAACAATATTTAAATTTCACAAAAATCCATATTTAGCATTTACAACACTCATACATATAGATTTAAGCATCAAATCCCTAAAAACTAAGATCGATTTTTGAAAAAAAAAAATCATTATTAAATTCGGTCAATATGAAAAGCATAAACTAAAATTTTAATAAAAATTATTTCTAGCATAAAGGAGACACCTTAAACATAGATCAACTCATTTAAAGCATAAAAATGAAGTCTTGGAGCACAAAAATCGATGAGAATAACACAAACCTTGATTTAAAAGCTAGAAATCCACAAAAATCAAGCTTGAATAATTTATTTTCCCTTTGATTTTGGATCTTTCTCTACCAAAAATCAAAATTTCTAAAATCACTTCCAAAATCCATTAAAATGAAAAAAAAAATAAAATAATGAATGAGATGACTAAGACATGTATAATGCATTACTAGCCATGGAATTGAAAAATATGACAAGATCTAAATGAAAGAGAAAGTGTTAATAGCATAAGAGAAGGAAAATCTTACTCTTAAATGTTTGATCTTGCAAAATAAGCTTCAAAACCGTGGTATAGGCCTTTAGTCCTCCATCATATCTTATTTTAATGAAGAAACACAAGTGTTTGAGTAGGGAGAAGAAGATGGTTCAGTTATGGTGATGAAGAGAAGAAAGAAGGAGAAAGAAAGAAGGAAAAAAAAAAAAAAAAAGTTATGGTGAATGAGAGAAGAAAGAAGGAGAAAGAAAGAAGGAAAAAAAAAAAAAAAAAAAAGAAAGAAAGGTGTTGCGTCTCTTTTGAGTTCGCAAGTATAGCGGATCGCAATGTAGTAATAAAAGAATCGATCCACGAGGAACGGGTTGAGTTCAGCTGGCTACTTTTACTCTTAAATGATGTGTTTTTACAGGAATACGATTACAGAAGTGATTAATTTTCTATTTAGCTAAATCTTAATGTTTAATGAACTCTAAGATAAGTGTGTAGTGTAAGATACTTAGAATAATTAATCATACATAGGATTTTCCTTTTCTATGCAAAAGCTTGTAACATACAATAAAGAATTCTTTAATTACATATGGTAAGACATAATTCAACTTCTCAGTATAGAATTATACTATCTATTATTTCTACTTATAATAAAAACCTTATCTTGTTAAATATTAAACCTAATTCTTAGTCTTTGATTATTTCAATAAGACAGATTTAATTTCAATCGAAATAAGTGAAATATGCATATGTAAATTCAACTCAATGAATTAAATCTCTTTGTTCTTTACTAAACTATTTCCTTCTGAGAATATAATTCAGTAACTTTGATTAAATAAAGATCAAAAGATAACTTAAGGAATTTTTTATTGAATACTACCAATTAAAATTGTTGCTTTGCATAGAAGAGTTATGAAGAACAACAGTTATGAAGAACAACACACAAACAATCTATAAAACAAAGAAAGAAGTAATCTACTCAAGGCCCTCCGAGGCGCAAACACGCTCGAGGACCTCTTGATGTTCTTTGGCACAATCATAACAAGTGACTCTCGTCAAACTTGCTCAAGTACTACTAACACACTTCCCTAAATACAATCTAAGTGTTTCTGTTTCTGATCTACTTTCAAATATGATCTCTATATATCTGTGAACCCCTCCCCAAAAAATAGGCATATAATGAAATATGACTAAGGCAGAAAATGCACGTGAATGTGTGAAGTCACCACCTTTGTTTTTAATTATTTTTAGGGTAAACTAGGAAAAAACCTAAGTTGACTCCAATTTTTAATTAACCTAATACTAGATTAATTATCCCAATGCTTAAGGCATAAGTTTGCAAACCTGAGGTGGATCCCGAGACTATGTCCATGCCAATTAACTAACCTAAGTGTGAATGCTTTGCAAGGTAATGATGCAATTGGACAATAAAGTGTTTTGATGATTTCGACTTGCCGCTCGGGTCAACTCCCGAACGTGCCTACGTACCTCGTTTTGAATGAGAGGATCAAAGCGCGACGTAGTTTCGATAGGCCTTTTTTTAAAGGGCCTTTGAATGGTATGCTATGCATGAATGTGTGTATGCTTCGTGCATTTTGGTTCAGGGCATTTTTGCCAAAGAATTGATTGATCTTGTTTAGGCGGCGATTGTTCAAAAGTGTTGATTTAAGGCATTTTAGCTGAAAAGGATTGATTTAGGGCCAATTTGGTTTGCCATAAAGTTGATGTGATTTAGGCAATTGGTTTTGCCAAAAAGGATTATTGAGGCTTTAAGCCAAATGGGTTTATTTAAAGGCAATTTGTTG